TCATGAGAGGCTGTTGGATCCCCTGGGACTGGAGTTATGGCAGTTGCCAGCTGTCATGTGGGTGCTGGGATTTGAACTCGGGTCTTCTGCAAGAACAATCAGTGTTCTTATCCATTGAGCCATCTCTCCAGTATTTTTTTGGCAAAAATAATTGTTGTGCTGTAGACTATATTCTTGCTGATTTTCTGCCTACTTGTCCTTTCACTATGAATTAAGACATACTGAAATTTCACATGACTCAAGAATTTATGTTATCAGTCTACTTTTTCTTTCATGTATTTTGCAGTTTCTGTTGGATTGTCTACCATTTGGTCCTGTGCTCCTTTTAGTTGGATGTTTATTTATTTGAATTTTTCTAAAGTTCATACAATATATTTTGGTCACATTTAGAACCCTCCCTGATATGCACCCTTCTTATGCCCCCTCACCCCATTTTGTGGATTTTGTCACATCCTTCAGTGTGTTTCCATTCACTGGAGCTTAGCCAATATAGTATCACATCCTTAAATAAAAATGGTGCTACATTTTGGAGGGTGGTGCAAGGTTTGAGACATGGCCTCCCTGTATCCCCAGATGGCCTAGAGTTTGCTATGTAGACCATGCTGTCCTTGATCTCACAGAGGTCCACATGCCTCTGTCAGCTGAGTGCCGAGATGTTGAATGTATCTGATTTGTTGTCAGGGGTCTTTACAATGATGTCATTTTGATTTACCGTTCATAGGCTCTACATATCTACAAATTTATCCATTTATTTTGGATTTTCTTATTTAGTGGAATATAGGTTTTAAAGATTTTTTTCTCATAATTCTCAGAAATTCCTCAATATCTCTTGTGATGTTTCCCTTTCTTTCCTGATTTTAGCAGTTTGGATCTTCTTTTTTCTTTTAGTTAATTTGGCTAGAATTTTGTCAGTCTTGTTAATCTTTTTGAAAAACCAACTGTTCTTTTCATTGATTCTTTGCATTCTTTTATTTTCTTTCAATTTCATTAATTTCAGCCCTGATTTTGATAATCTCCTCTGATTTATTCTTTGTATTATTGTTTGTTCTTGTTTTTCTAAGGTCTTCAGGTCATCATTAAATTATTCATAGGAAACAACTCTAATTTTTTGATGTAGCCACTTAATGGTGTAAAGTGTTCTCTTAGGGACTGCCTTCGTGGTGGACTATAGATTCTGTTATGTTGTGTTCACTTCATTCAATTTAAAGAATTTTTCCATTTTTTTCTTGATTTCTTCCTTGACAGGATTTTTGTTTGGAATGTGTTTGTTTTATTTTAATGTTTATTTTTAATGTTTA